TCAAGAGACAAAAATGTTCAGGACACATTTCTCTATCTGCTCTGATAAGTTGAGAAAAATCTGTGACAGTACATTGAGCAACTTCGTTCGTCTCTATCGTGCACTGCCTCTTAAGTGACAATATACTGTTTTTTCATGAGTAAATAGCCCAAAAGTTTCTCTTCAAAACGGAAGCCAAGCGAACCTTTGATTTGCAGCGATTCGAACGTGACATGGGATTTCCAAGAAATCAGCGAACTGGCGTTCGTGGTTTGGAGTAATCTTGAGACCGGAAGAGACATACGTAACTGACCACGTAGAATCCGTTGACAATGTTTATTTTTGAAGAAAACATCAAAAACCAATCAAAATTGTGTTTTACGGAAATTGGGATTTTCAGGCTGTGTCCACGCAAGGATTCATAATTCACTAAAAAAGTACCATGAAAACTTCAGGATATATGGTATTTGTGCTATTCTACATCCTGTTCATAACAAATTTACAAAAAAGCAGTTTAAAAAACCTTTTGGCCGGAAGGGTTTCTAGAAAATTGTTGCTAAAAAAATTATTTCTCTATGCGATCTCATAATCATTTTTAGCGGTAAAATTCACCATATCCTGAAACTTTCAACTCGTTCTGATACTTTTTGAATGAATTAGGAATTTATTAACCTTAGGTAGAAACAGTTCGGAAATCGCTATTTCATAAAACATGGCTTTGATTCGACGTTGAATACATGACAAAAAAATCGCGCCAACTTTTTATATCATGATAGAGTTCGTCATTATCGTGATATTTTAAAACATTTGATAGAATATCCCAATATATATATATCGCTACTATTCTTTTCAAAATAGAACGCTCCTGGCTATTTTTTGGATAACTCGAGATAAGAAAGAAATAAAGACCTACATCTTTCGCCATTCGATAGACAGGGCTTTAAAGCATCTTTTTGTAAGCAAAATCTTCTTAAAATTATTGTTCAAAAACCGGTTTTCCAAAAGATCTCTGAAAAGACCTTTCATAATAAGAAAAAATTTAACATAGCAATACATTAGTTGTTTTTACATAGGTAGATAGCCCAGAATGTCTTCCTCATAATGGGAACTCTTGTCCATTTTCCGAAGGAAAAGGAAGTTTGAAGTATAAAGTTTATATACGAGGATTTTTGTGGTTTGCAGAGGGTTTTTGTCAGTAGCTGTAAACTTTCGGGGTAAAATTGTGATTGACCAAATTTCAATATAAATTTAGTGTTTACAGCTACTGAATGGACTAGTAATAGAAAGTGCATTATCTATCTGATTTTTAGACATAAGTTTTAAAAATTCTTAGCATATATGATTACATGTTTTATGTTATAGTCCAACAGTTCAATAGGAAGTTTGCACATTGCGTAGAAGCAACGTTGACAACCTTTCTTTACATAGATAGACAGTCCAAAGTGTTTTTCTTCAAACGAGAACTAAGTGCCGGGATACAAAATCTATCCATAAGATTAGGAAACGTCTGCCGACGGTAAAAGATTAGAATAAAATTCCCTGGCATGAAATAAAGGAAAAAACACAATAATGTGACTGTATTGCTGCTAAAACCACTGCTTATTCGACCTTTAAGTTGAAAACTAGTGTGTCTGTTTAGTCACATTTGTCTGGTGCTGGTATTTTTGATGATTTAAAACAATTGAACCAGGAGATACCCATTTCCATATTTGATACCGATTGCTCTTTTTGTAAAACAACCGTTCTTTATCTCTTAGTGGACTAAAATAATTATTGAGTGATTGTTTGATAAATCAATCAGCTTAATATAATGATGATGCATTCCAATGTAACATCACTTCATCGTCTAAGCATGCAAAACGGCTAACGGTCACCCACAATGATTAAAGTAGAAGTTGAAATTCAACAAAATTGAAACTTACCAAATTGTAGAGCGCACTTTTCTTTCAAAGTAATCTATTCGAACGACTCAGAGAAAATACGGATGATCGAAAAGTTCTTCTACAAGTCGATTATGCTGAGAATTTCGCTATGGATCATCAGGATGCTATTCAGTCATCTCATTGGAATACAAGGGCGTTGTCAACTCCTTGAAGAGTCATGCTCTAAAGCATGATTTATTATGAATATGTCCTTTCAAAATTGACGCAGCTGATTCACACAAGACTTTACTTCTTAGTTTTAATACCATTAATGAATAAAACTATAAATAATCTTGAATACTGTCAGCTAGTTGTTGTTCTGTAAAAAAAAACTTTGTTTTTATTATCTGATCCTTTGTTGTCCATATTTCGTACGTATTAGGATCTTCTAGTTCATTCAAAAACAGTTCTTTCCATATTTTGTATTGTTCTTTCAGATCCGTAAAATTCATGTTTAAATGGAGTGCATTTCTTTTCATAGAATCAATTAATCCTTGTAGACTAGTGATACCATATTCTGGATTTAATTGATCATTTGATGTTTTAAATAACACATTTAACCTCTTGAATGCCGTTATTTTTCCTCTTCCGCGTCCAAAGGCATGCATATGTAAAAAACGATTAAATATCTCTCTTTGCGTTCTATTGTTTTCGTCACATGTGTTCCTCTGGCACTTTTTTTTCGTTAAAACGATAGAACAAAAAAGCATATGCAACATATAAAATTTCCTTCATGTCATCTATAGATGCCTTACGGCATTTAAGAGGTTAATAAATGTGCAGGATCTAAACAATTTTTACTCGTTTCAAAAACAAATGATGTAGACTATGTTTAAATGGCTTCAACTATCACTGTGCGTAATAAAATTAGATATTCTTTTCTTATCATAGTCTGTGGCCTGACGCTGGATGACTCACTCTTCTATTTACGTAACCTATATCTAGTAATGCACTTTGTTTTGCAAAAAAGTGAAACTCAT